CAATTTAAATGGTGGAAAATAATTTGAAATTGTCCACTAAAGACTTAAGTGTTAAAAAAAAAAAAAAAAATGGTCGCCAGAATATTAAGCAAAAAGATGTTGGAGATGTAGTTACTATCATATACACAAGTCGACATCGGCGTCAACTTCTGTAATTTTTCTGTTAGAATTGGGTTGTGATCCGAATTTTTTTTAAGTATTCGTTTGGAAATATTGTTAGAGGAGTATTGAGAGTTGATAGTAGGCTTGAAAATGTTTTGAATGAGTCCAATAGAATTTGACTCATATTTTATTCGAAATTCTCTATTATTAGTTTTACCTATTGTATTGCGACTTCGACTTGTCTTAAACTCTTCATGCATTCATTCTCTTAGTATGTTAGGGATTCTTTGATTATAAATATGTGGTATACAACACATATTGAAATTGATCAATTGTCCAATTAGTTATTGGTCTAAAGAAATCATTTGTAATTCCTTACTATTGATTATAGTGAATTCTCCGTTTCTGTCCGCGATTTTTCCGGATTTGAATTTCCACGTAAATCTTGTTTTCTTTGTGATCCATTATTTTCATATTACCCATATTATTCCCACCTTTATTATTTGGCCTGACTCTCAACAAGTGATATTAGAGTGATTCGATATTTTGGTTGGTTCATAATAAATGGTATTAGAGCCAAGGTTTTGATGGTTCTTGGGAGAGCCAGATTGGTTATTTGGCCCACAATAATGGCCATGATTAATTGAGCACTTCTTTTTATTGTTTGGCCCGGTTCTCAACATTTTCTTTTAAAATTAACAAAAAAAATAAATATTATTTGTAAAATTTGAGTTTGCTTGGAATATTATTTTTTAATTTCTCACTGAATTATTGATTATTACTTTTGTTTAATTTAAATTTTTAGGCACCCAAGAATAGCCATGTCAACAAGCTCCAGCAGAATTGATATGGAGAAGAAAACAGCAAAAAATGCAGCAGAAACAGAGGAATAAACCAGCAGAGAAATAAAATTGAACAGCAAGAAGAAACACAGAGAACAGATTGAAAAATAGGAAGATAACTTCCTCAGCCTTTTATTCCCAAGACTTTTCATTTATACTAAGTGCAAGCAACGTGCAATGCACGTTTACTTAGTTTATATTTAATATTTTTGTTTAATAATTAATTTGTTATTAATAAAGATGTAATTTTTTTTGGTTAATTAAGGGCGTGTCTGGGCGCGCTGCAAGGAGGAAGGAAAATTGATTATGTTACCGTTTTTTTTTCAAACCTAC